ACAGACGTGCTGTATAGCACGGCTGGGGCGTGCTAGCCTCTGACTTGCAATAGCATAATTTGCTTTATCTAGCACGGGCGTGCCAGATAGCACAGCTGGAGCGTGCTAGAGTCTGTCCCTCTAAGCAATTTCCCCCTTTTTGACGCATGGGCGTGCTAGATCCTGTACCTCAACTTTTACCTGAAAGAGCTTGGCTAAAAACAGAAGAACAATCATAGCGAAAAAATTTGAAAAATTCTAATAGACATAACAAAAATAACTAAAATAAGAAGGTCAAGGAAAAGAATATGTGTTGTCTCCCACAAGTGCTTTTGTTTAACGTCGTTAAGCTCTACGCATTAAACCCGATTTGGGCTAAACAAGACTTATCGTGGATTTGACTGGATCAAAATCTTCATTTTGGTAAACTTTTAAGCATTGAGCATTGACTTTGAAACTCCGGTCACCATCCACTATTTCAACTGCCCCATGTGGAAAAATTATAAGCATTGAGCATTGACTTTGAAACTCCGGTCACCATCCACTATTTCAACTGCCCCATGTGGAAAAATTTCTTTGATTGTGAATGGGCCAGATCATCTAGAATGCAATTTACTTGGCAACAGACGGAGTCTAAAGTTCTAGAGTAGTACATGTTGGCCTACCTTTAGATTCCTTAGGATAATATGCTTATCATACCATTGTTTAGTGCGGTCTTTATAGATTTTGGCATTCTTATAAGCATGGAGTCTCATCTCATCCATCATATTCAATTGAAGCAACCTCTTTTGACCAACCTCTTTAGCATTAATTAAAATTAAGAAAACTGATTGCCCAATATGCCTTTGTGCTCTAATTCAACAGGGAGGTGACAAGACTTACCGTAAACCATCGATATGGAGACATACTAATTGGTGTTTTTAAATGCAGTTCGATAAACCCAAGAGCATCATCGAGCTTCCTTGGACCAGTCCTTTCTTTGATGGCCAAACCATGGTCCTCCAGAATCTTCTTGATTTCCCTATTAGTGACTTCCACTTGTCCACTTGTTTGAGGGTGCATAGGGGTACCTACAACGATGAGTAACACCATATTTTGAAAGAAGGGAATCTAAGTACTTGTTGCAAAAGTGCTTACCTCCATCTGTGATTATTGCTCTTGGAGTACCATGATGTGTGAAAATATATTTCTTGATGAAGTTCATCACACTATCGGCATCATTATTTGGAAGGGCAACAGCTTCCACCCATTTTGAGACATAATCTACCACTACTAGAATGTATTAGTTGGAATAAGAGGATGGGAATGGCCCCATGAAATCTAAGCCCCAAACATCAAAGATCTCCACTTCAAGGATATTATTTAATGGCATCTCTTTGAGATATTACCTAACCTTTGACAATGATCACAAAGACGCACAAAGTTAAAAGCATCCTTAAATAAGTTAGGCCAATACAAACTGCTTTCTAGAATACATGCTGTAGTCTTGCTTGCTCCAAAGTATCCCCCACATTCCATTGAATGACAGACTCGAAGGACACTATCCATTTCCTCTTCCTGTATACATCGTCGAAAGAGCTGGTCACTATAATATTTGAACAAGAAAGGTTCCTCCCAATAGTAATATTTGAGATCATGAAAAATTTTTTTTCTTTGTTGATAAGAAAGATTGGGAGGAATAATTTTGCAAACAAGGTAGTTAACTATATCGGCATACCATGGAGCTTGTGTGTCTGCTAAGAGGAGAAGATGTTCATGGGGGAAGTCTTCATTTATTTGTAATTCTGCTTGCTCTTCTTCTCCCAACTCAAGACTGGATAAGTGGTCTGCTACGAGGTTCTCGGTTCCCTTTTTATCGCGAATCTCCAAATCAAATTCCTGAAAATGTAGAACCCAACGAATTAATCTAGGCTTTGCATCTTTCTTTTCTAATAGATACTTAATAGCAGAGTGATCAGTATACACTATTGTGTTAGCTCCAATCAAATAAGCTCTAAATTTACAATCAAATAAGCTCTAAATTTATCAAAAGCAAAAACAATAGCTAGAAGTTCTTTTTCAGTTGTGGCATAATTCAATTGTGCATCATTTAATGTGCGACTAGCATAATAAATGACATGCAATTTTTTTTCCCTTCTTTGCCCAAGAACAGCTCCTATAGGATGATCACTAGCATCACACATAGGTTCAAAAGGAAGACTCCAATCTGGTGTAGCGATGATAGGTGCTGAAGTCAACTCTTTCTTCAACCTATCAAAAGCATTCAAACATTCGTTGTCAAAATTAAAGGGAACATCTTTAACTAATAAATTACAAAGAGGTTTTTTGATTTTGGAGAATCTTGATAAATCTCCTATAAAATCCTGCATGCCCAAGAAAACTTCTTACTCCTTTTACGGAACTTGGAGGGGATAGCTTTTTATTTACCTCTATCTTAGCTTTATCTACTTCAATCCCTTTTTGTAAGATTTTATGTCCTAAAACAATACCTTCACTAACCATAAAATGACATTTTTCCTAATTCAAAATAAGGTTAGTGTCCTCACATCACTGCATTACTAAAGATAGGCTATAAAGACAAGAATCAAAAGAAGAACCAAACATAGAAAAGTCATCCATAAATATTTTAATGAACTTCTCAACCATGTCAGAAAATATAGACATCGACATCATGCACCTTTGAAAAGTTGCAAGAGCATTGCACAACCCAAAAGGCATTCTCCTATACGCGAAAGTACCAGAAGGGCAAGTGAAAGTGGTTTTATCTTGACCTTCGGGAGCAATAGGTATTTGAAAATATCTTGAATAACCATCTAAAAAGCAATAATATGGATACCCTATAAGTCTTTCAAGCATTTGATCAATAAAAGGTAAAGGGAAGTGATCTTTGCATGTTGCTTTGTTCAATTTCCTATAATCAATACACATGCCAACTTGTGACAGTTCTAGTGGGAATTAACTCATTATTTTTGTTAGAGATAACTGTCATACCTCCGTTCTTTGGGACAACTTGAACAGGAGTTACCCAATTGTTATTGGAAATTGGATAGAAAATGCCGACATCCAAAAGTTTTATGATCTCAGCTTTCACTACCTCTTTCATGTTTGGGTTCATTCTTCTTTGATGCTCAATTGAAGGTTTGTAGTCTTCTTCCATTAAGATCTTGTGCATGCATACACTTGGACTTTGCATACACTGGAGCCTTATTCCCTGCAAATCCGAAATTGACGCACCTAAGGGCCTTTCTTATGTTTTCGAAGAACCTACAACAACCTTTCCCTCTTGATCAAGTGTTAAGTGAGAAAGAAATAATAACAGGAAAAGAATTGTTCTCACCTAGAATGCATGTTTTTAAATGAGACGGAAGTTGTTTCAGTTCTTGTTTTGGTGATTCCACTTTCTTTTTCATCTATGATGCTTGTAAGTATTTAAGTCAGTTTTATCTTTAACATGCAAAGTGTTCTAAACACTTCAACATTCATCAACAACATCAATCCTAAAACAATCATTATAATCCATGGGAAGTTTACAAGATTTAAGAACATAAAAAACAACCTCCTCTTGACCTACTCTTAAGGTTAATTTACCTTCATGCACAACAATCAATGCTCTTGTAGTTGCAAGAAAGGGCCTTCCAAGGATTAAGGATCCTTCTTTATTCTCGTCAATGTCAAGAATAACAAAATCAACAGGAAAGATGAATTTACCTACCTTGACGAGGACATCTTCTACGACCCCTCTTGGATATTTGATTGATCGATCTACCAATTGTAGAGACATCCTTGTTGGTTTTAGCTCTCCCATCCCGAGCATCTTAAAAACTTCATAAGACATAAGATTAATGTGCTTAGCACCTAAAATCTGCTAATGCATTTTTCAAAATCAAGATTTCCAATAGTTACAGGGGAATATAAAAACTTCCTGGATCCTTTAATTTTGGAGGCAATTTATTTTGAATGATGCACTCACCCTCTATCACATTAACCATCCTTGATCATCAATCTCCTTTTCTTACTCAGGTCTCTTTTAGGAATTTTGCATAGCTGGGCATTTGAAGCAAGGCTCAGCAAAAAGGTATGTTGATTTGAAGCTTTTTGAAGACATCAAGAAATTTGAGGAAACCTTTTTGTCATCTTTTGTGTTTTCTTTAACCTTTGTCGGAAAGGGAAGGAGGAAACATAAGGTTTTACTTCTTCTTTCTCTTTTAGGTCAATGATTGGGATGTTACTCTTCCTTCTCCTTCTCTGCCCTGGTTGGTTCCTCTAACTGTTTGCCACTCCTCAAGGTAATAGCTTGTACCTGCTCTTTAGGATTTTTTTTCAGTATTACTAGGTAATGTATCTTGAGGTCGAGAAGCCATCATGTTTGCAAATTGTCCGAATTGAATTTCCAAGTTCCTTATTGCCGCTTGTTGGATTTTGCGGTTTTCTCAAGTTTCATTCATGAAGTCCATGTGAGATTTTAAGAGAGCAGTGAGAAGATCATTATGAGTCTTTTGCTCTTGAGAGGAAAAACCTGGTGGTGCATTCAAGGCATTGTTTGGATTCCCATAAGAGAGATAGGATGATTCCTTAACCTGTTATCATAAGAGTTAGAATATGGGTAATTCTTCCTTCCTTGATTCATCACATAGTTGATCTGTTCCAAAGTTTGTGGATTTGAAATATCTAGCATGCATTCTCCAATTCCATGTTGTCCATTAGACCTATCACAAACTTGCATGATAGAGTTAACAGGGTTAGTAGTCAATAAGTCCAACTTCCTTACTAAGTCCAACTTCCTTACCATATTATCTACTTTGGCATTGAGTGCAGTGATGGCATCAATCTCATAAACTCCTGCAGTTTTCTTCCTTTCGGAGTTGCTTTTGTAATGGCTATTGCTTGCCATCTCCTCTATCAAGCCATATGCCTCGTCAATTCCTTTTCTTTCAAAAGATCCACCTGCAGCTGCATCTAGAGTAATTTTAATGTTAGGAGATAATGCATTATAAAAAGTTTGTACTTGTAACCATTTGGGCAAGCTATGATGAGGTCACTTTCTCAATAAATCTTTGAATCTTTCCTAAGCTTCTTACAAACTCTCTTGATCATGGTGGATAAAGGTCATTATCTCATTGCGTAGTTTTGTGGTTTTTGAAGATAGAAATAATTTTGCTAAAAATTTTTGGGCTAATTCCTCCCATGATGTAAAACTTGCAGCAGGGCATGATTGTAACCAGGATCGTGCTTTGTCCCTAAGAGTGAAAGGAAAGAGTCTTAATTTTATGGCATCTTCAGAAACTAAACTCCATTTTGTTTGAAAGTGTCGCAAATTTCTAAGAAATTTGTGATATGGCCATTAGGATCTTCACTAGGTAAACCTCCATATTGAATTGAGGTGGAAAGCATTTGGATAATAGCATTTGGATAATCGCAGGTTTAATTTCAAAATTGTTAGCTTCCACCTTAGGTCTAGTGATACTTGAAGTTGTTCCATTGAGAGAGGGAGTTGTGTAATCTCGCAAAGTGCGGACATGAGGTTAGGGTCTGTCCTGAGGATTAGTTTCATTAGCCATATTTACTTGTTGTTCTGGTTTGTTCTCTCGTGCTCTTCTAGCAACGTTGTTCCTACGACAAGTCTTTTCGATTTCTGGGTCAAAGATCAAAGGTTCAGTTCTACCTGATTTTCTTTGCATAAACACCTGAAAAATCTTCTTAGAAAATTTAAATTAAATAAATAAACAAAAACAAATGTCTAAAATAATAGGGTAATTAGTATTGATATTGGTAACGCCAATCCCCGGCAATGGCGCCAAAAACTTGACAGTGATTTTCGTAAGTGTACGAAATCGTAACAAGTTCGTCGAACAAGTAATAAGAGTGAGGTAGAGTAACTCCTAATTCCCACGAGAATTATTTACGCAGTACCAATAATGATGTTAACTACTATTATTTTAAACAAATAAGGGAATTATTTTAAGAAATAACTTTAACAAAATACGAGAATTGAAAGAATATCAAGCAAGGCAATTTTTGAGTAAAAATAGAAACTAAGGATTAAAAGCTACCAAGGATTTTGACTTCAACTTTAGAATTTCTATCCATATTTTATTTATTAGTTGTTAATCAATTTTTGAATGTTCAAGTGGGGAAACAACCCTAAACTCACTAACAGTCTCTCCGATGGTATTGTTAGTTTATCTTTTAAACCCCGTCTAATAACCTATCTCCCAATAAGTGCAGACAAACATGAATTAAAATCAAAGTCTTATGGTCGTTGGTTTTGTTGAATTCATACAAGGTCATAACTTATGAAAACCCCGCCATGATCAAACCATAAGCTTCCCATCAAGTAATTTATCTTTCAGTGTAATGTTAATTGCTTTTGTTTCATATCAAAAACCCTTCTCCCGAAGTGTTTAATGAAAAATCAATCCAGAGAATAAACTTTATGCCTTGGATAGAGCATTAAGCTTAATAGATATATTAATACTTTGAAACTAAAGAAAAACAAATCTAATATTATAAATGGAAAAAGAATTAAGCTACATCAAATCCCTAATATAAGAGTTTATTTCGACAATAGAAAGTAAATAAATACAATAATACGTGAATAAAATTCCAATAATCAAAGTCCAGAATAATGAAAGAATAAACAATGATTAAGAGCCCTAGAGATAAAACTAGTCAATAATAATTCTGGAGGCTTCCCTTAAATCCTGGCACAAATCTGAGTTGAGCACTTGAAATCTTAGAGAGAGAGAAGAACAGTAGAACAAAAATTATTAAAACTCCAGATCCCTTTACAATGAATGGCTCCTCTCTTTATATAGTTTCCCTGGGAGAAAATCCGACTCCATTTAGGAAATAGAGTCCTCATTAACTAAGAAATTTTTTTGGAAGTAGGAAACTGTTTAGGCTTTGGATTTGTTCTCAATTAGGACTCTTCCATACGCCTAAATAGGATTAAAACTTGATTTGCATGCCAGGAAAATATCTCAGGTGGGCCCATGTAAGTGATAGGGACTGGTTGGCGTTCTCGACCCAAGACAACACTTGATTCGCAGCACGGGTATGCTGTGCGGCATGGTCAGGGCGTGTCGGAGCCTGAGTTCTAATGAAGGTTCAGCAAGGGTCGTGCTCAAGGGCACGCCTAGATAAGGATTTGTGACATGGGCGTGCAGCACGGGCGTGCTGTGCGGCACGGTCAGGGTGTGTCAGAGCCTGAGTTCTAAGGAAGGTTCAGCAAGGGCCGTGCTTAGAGGGCATGCCTAGATAAGGATTTGTGACACAGGCGTGCCACATAGCAAGGCTAGGGCGTGCTAGGCTCTGAGTTTCTAAGATGAGATGCAACACGGGTCGTGCTTAAGCAGACACGCCTTGGGTTGATGTCCTCTTTTGGCACGGGCATGCCATTTAGCACGGCTTGGGCGTGCTAGAGTCTGAGTCTCCACTTAATTTTCCTTGAATCCAGCACAGGCGTGCTGAGGAGCATGGCTAGGGCGTGCCAGAGCCTGAATGTTTTGCTTTATTTTGCTCTTTTTTGTGCCAAAATACTACAAATTTCCTTAAGATCAAGGGAATTATGATGCAAAGAAGCTTTGAACAAAAAACGAATTAAAACTAAATAAAAACTAATTAAAGTAATTAAAAATACTAAAAATCTTAATAAAAATTATATTTAAAATACTATAAAAATAACACCTATAAAAGTACAAGAAAGTAGTAAAGAAAACATAAAAGGAAAACGATAAAAGGTTAAATCAATAAAAGGAAGTGTCACCTCTAATCCCTTTTAGAGGTTGTTGAATGACCATATATCTCCCATCAAGGCAAATAAAGCAAGTAGAGAAAGTGGTAAACAATCTAACGAATGAATAAATTAATAAAGGGAATGTCACCTCTAGGATGTGAAAGAATTCTAAGATAACAACACATTTCTCCAAATTAAAGGCAAAGAAAGCAATCATAAAATGTAATGAAGGAAACATGAAAGCAACATAAATAAGGCATAAAGAAAGAAAGTAAGGAGTGTTATCTCTATCCCCTTCTAGGGCACATATCTCTCATCCAAGCACATAAAGTAAGGAATAAAGGGAAAAAAAGAGAAAAGAAGGGGGTTTGTTGATTTGGTTCGTAACTCGAGTTTAGTAATCGAGTTTGTTTTTTTATCACATTGAATAGGGATCAGAACCAAATAGTTCTTTCCATTGTGAAATGAGAGTTTTAGACTTAAAAAAATTATGTTTTTGTCAAATATTGGCTTTAGCCGTCATTTTGATAGAAATAGTATCATGTGATTGAAAGAGTGATTTTAGTCGCCAATTTGATTGAAAGAGTTGCTTTAGTTGCCAATTTGATTGAAAATTGACTTTTGAGTTAAATTTCTTGATTATGATGAATTGTTTTGTCTTACTTTAATGTCATTATTTAATTAATAATAGCAAGTTCAAGTTTAATAACAATTAAGAAATAAGTTACTTTTTAGTCTTTTGTTGTTTGAGATTGTGAGACCTAACATATGAATCAATAATTAGAGAGGTTTAAGGTTGAATACCTTGATCCCTAAAACTAAAAAATTAGCTTTGCATCTCTAATGTCCAACCTCATGGCCAAGTTGGTCAGCCCGGGTTGATGAACGCAGACCGGTAGTCAAGTCCCTGATTCGACAACAGGTCTGCTTTAGTTCAATTTTTTTGATTCAGGTGGTTCGAAACATAATTCGATTGCAATTTTAGCCATGATATATCATTGAAAAATTTAGATGTTAGTTTCTAATCAAACTTAAATCACCTAAAAATTCAATTTGTAGCTCAAAATAAGATAAAGGGAGTGGAGAGAGATTACTTTTTTAGTTCTTTTGGTATGTAGTAAATTTGTGCCTATGATTCGGGACTCATTTCAATCCATATTTTGGCCAATAATATACTATTGAAAAGCTATTTGTGTCTAGTTTCTAATAATACAAAGTTTGTGTCAAAATTCTATATGTGAGAAAATTTATAGCCAGAAGAGTGAGCAAAGGTCTTCTTTATCTACTAGGTTGATCTCTAGTTTTATATGTAGTGACTTTGTGTCATGATTTGGGACAATTTCACCTCAAATTTTTTCTCATAAATATACCATTGGAAAGCTATCTTTGTCTAGTTTCCATTAATATAAATTTTATTCCAAGATCTAATTTGTGGGAAGAGTTATGTCCAAAAGAGTGAGCAAATGTCACCTTTATCTACCAGATCAACCTTCGGTTGTTGAACCAATTTGCTACCTATATATCCCTAACATGTGCATAATGAAGAACTTTTGAAGTATGGTGGTACATGGTCTATGTGCTAAGTATGCATTCCTAGTAATAGATGGGTTATGACTCGTCATGTGCAAATGGGAGATATTGGAATTTATGGATAGGTTCAAGGATATAAGCCCATAATGAGTGTAAAGACCTGAGTCCATAATATATTCATTAATTATAATAATGAATGAATTAATTATTATTACAATAGTATTTACATGCGGACTGACCCGCACATTGTCGCGGATTTTTCACATTTTCGTTTGAATTAGTAAATAATGCATCTTTTTGTCTCACACATAAAAGAGATTGTGGATCTTGAGAATATTTATGTGTGTATGTGTGTGTGTATATATATAAAATTAATTATTATATACAATAGTAAATTTACAATGCGGACTGACCCGCACATTGTCGCAGGATTTTTCACATTTTCAGTTTGAATTTACGTAAATAATGCATTTTTTTGTCTCACACGCATAAAAAGAGATTTGTGGATCTTGAGAATATTTAATGTGTTGTCGGTTAATGTTCTGTGTGGGTGTATAATATATAGTATATTATAACTATATACTAAGAGCTAATAGGTAGATATTCTATATAGATGTATAATGGTAATTTTTATGGATTGTATGTACCGTAGTTGGATAGACTAAGTACACTTAATGGTTGTAAAACGGGTTTTATGTTATAGCATTTAATATTAAGCTAATATAATGTTAGTATTTTTATGGATTGATGTATATTGTATAAGTACATTAATGTTGTAGGTTTAGTTATACATTTATATTAAGCTAATAGTTCAAAAGGCCATTCAGCAGCCATTTTTATTACATTCAAGAAGGCATTGTCAA